TGGGCTTGGGCAGCACTGGGTTGGGATGTTTTCTTGATGTGCACTTAACCTTTATATAAAACTCTCTCTTATACATATGAGTTTCTGTGGATTTGTTTCTCTAATGGACCCAGACTAACACAACTTATGTTATTAAAATATTTGTATATAATTTCAGAAATTAATAATAAATCATTTTCTGACTGTAATAATGTTCATCAACATGACTTTGAGTCAGAATCAACTCTAGCAGTGGATTTGGCTGTTTTTTCCCTTATCTCCTCACCACTCAGCTTCTGTTCGTGATCCATAATCTAAGAGGTCTTTGTGGTTGTTCTGTTGTTTTCCTCTTGGAGTTTACCACAGGACTTGCTTGGACACTGACCCATACAGCCGGCCATTTACGGAGCATTATTAAGGTTGAGGAGCAGAAGGGGAAACTTGACAATGAGTGCGTGCAACCTTGGAAATCTTCCTTCATCACGGGTCTCTTAAGAGTTAGAGATGATTGGCCACCAGGCAAATGATTTAAAGTGGCATAAGCAAATAGTTCTTATCTCTTTGGGGCATTTCTAGGTCCACTTAATAATTTTAAATATCCCAGTTGTCCCTGAAGTCTATAATTTCTTTATGATAGCAATGTATATCTTCAGGATCATTTGTATGTATTTTAGATTTTTTCCTTGCAGAAAATTAACTCTGAATTATTTAAATAAAGCAAAACAAAAGAAAACAGAAGAGCAACACACAACATTAAAAAGGAAATTCATGGACATGATCCACATAACTGACAGCATTGAGGGGCGTGTCAAGGTGGCATTAAAATGGTAAGAAAAATAGGCTCTTAGGGTACATTAACTGGCACAGGAGGTAGAATTTCAATGCTTATTTTCTGGGTGGACACAATCCAACTCATAGAAATATGTTAGAATCACTGACGACTAACTCTGAACCTTTCTTCATAACAAATTTCTCACATGGTCAGTGACTAGGTATCGACCGTATGCTCATGCCTACAAAGGTATAATAATGACCTGTGATGAGGGATGTTGGCACACCATGATTAAGTCTCTTCTGTCATCATACTGAGAATATAGAGTTTCACTCCCTCCCTCCCTGCCATCGAGTCAATGCTGACTCATGGTGATGCTATGGACACCTGGGAACAGGACACGGTAAACTGACCCCGTGCATTTCCAAGACTGTAACTCTTTTTTTAAAAATCATTTTATTGGGGGCTCATACAATTCTTATCACAATCCATACATCCATCCATTGTGTCAGGCACATTTGTTGCCATCATCATTCTCAAAACATTTGCTTTCAACTTGAGCCCTTGATATCAGCTCCTCATTTTCCCCCTCCCTCCCCACACCCCCTCCCTCATGAACCCTTGATAATTTATAAATTATTATTATTTTGTCATATCTTACACTGTCTGACGTCTCTCTTCACCCACTTTTCTGTTGTCCATTCTCCAGGGAGGAGGTTATATGTAGATCCTTGTAATCGGTTCCCCCTTTCTACCCCACCTTCCCTCCACCCTCCAGGCATTGCCACTCTCACCATTGGTCCAGAAGGGATCATCTGTCCTGGATTCCCTTTGTTTCCAGTTCCTATCTGCACCATTATGGGAGTAGAAAGCCCCATCTTTTTTCAAGAAGCTGGCTCATGGTTTCAAGCTGCTGACCTTGTGAAGCACAGCTCAATGTGTAACCACTATTCCACCAGGGTTCCTAATAGAGTTTAGTGACTGGGGAAATGGTCAAAGTAGGCTGATTATGGAATAACAACATCTATTACACTGTGTATAACACATATCTTGGCAAGAACATTTTCTAGACAAGAGCTTTATCTTGTTTATTCACCATACTCTGACTAGGACTAAATTTGTGTCATCTCAAGACAACATTTAGCTACCCTTCTAAGGAAAAACACATTTAAGAAAAAATATGTAAAGAAGGTGTAATAAGGTATCTTGCAGACACCTGGTATCATGAATTTCTCAAATAATATCCAGGAACTGTATCTTTCTGTTGGATCCAATTTCCTCATTACTCAGATGTTGCAGTCTATAACTAGAAACATTAGAAAATTTTTTTCAATATCCTTCTCATGGCTGCCTTCACCTCCTTGTTCTTCAGACTGTAGATGAGGGGGTTGAGCATGGGCGTGATCACACTGTACTGCAAGGAGAAGATTAACTCTTGAGTGGATCCTGCATTTGGCATGAGATAACGGAGCAACCCTGAGCCATAAAAGAAGATGACTGCAGTGAGATGGGAGGAGCAAGTGGAGAAGGCCTTGTTTCTACCTGTGGTGGAACTGATGCTCAGGATGGTCGAGATAATGCGGACATAGGAGAAAAAGATCAGAAGGAAATTGCCAAAGAAATGCACAAGGCTGGAGCAGAGCAGGGCAGTAAAACTGGCAGATACATCCGAGCAAGACAAAGGATAGAGGGAAGGCAGCTCACAGCTGAAGTGGTGAATATTTTGACCTTCACAGAAGTCTAAATTAAGAGCTACAAGGATATTTATAAAAGCATCCAGAAAAGCCAAGCCCCACGAGCCCCACACTAGCCCCACACAGAGCTGTGTGCTCATTCTTTGTCCATAGAGCAGAGGGGAGCTGATGGCAATGTAACGGTCATAGGCCATCACAGCCAATAGGCAGGACTCAGTGCCCCCAGTGGCAAACACAAAGAAGACCTGAGCCAGGCAGCCCTCTACTGAGATGGTCTTCTTCTCCGAGAGTAGATTCTCTAGCAGCTTGGGCACCGTGACAGAGGAGTGGCAGAGGTCCAGGAAGGACAGCTGTCCCAAGAAAAAGTACATGGGTGTGTGGAGGTGAGAATCAGCCTTAATCACCACCAACAGCATCATGTTCCCTATCATGGTCAAGAGGTAAATTACCAGGAACAACACAAAAAGTGGAGCTTGGATCTGGGAATCGGCAGACAGCCCAAGGAGGATGAACTCCGAAATAGCACTGTGGTTTCTCATGGTCTTCATTTGTTCTCTGGAATGTAAGAAAGAACTTAGATCATGCCTATTTCTATACCTAATACATCATAAAGTGACTCATCTCTCTTTTTAATTGACAAAGTTTCTTTACTCAAAAATTCATATACAGAAATGATAAACTTCCTCAAATCTCCAGATTTTCCTAAAACCTTTAATAATCTTTTCTGTAGGACTCCAACCTTCAGTCAACTTTGTGTCAACTTTTATTATTCTTGCTTTAGTATCTTAGAGCTTGCAATGTTATTTTATTATAAAAGCTATCAGATGAGGTTTTTAGACTATTGTTAATTATCTAGCAGAGTGGGAGAACTTGTAGGAAGAATAAGAAAACGAAGAAATGCTGTCTGAGAGAGTGAGAACAGTCCAATTTCAGTCAAGAAGCAAAACATGACCTTGTACGGGAGTAGATTTACTTTATCAGCCGTGATGAGCTCACTAGATTTGGTGTTGGGTGATTGTAATGATGTGTCGTTGAACTCCAGCTTCTTACAAGAAGGGAATGAGGGCTTGAGGAAGGTGGATGGGTCCGAAGTGGTTGAGTGGTTAAAATATTTCTTGAGTTGTCATACTAGAAGAAAATTACTTGGACATAGATGAGATGGTAGTGAGATATATTTACAATCCAGACTTTGAAAGTATTATTGCGGGAATGACTGATAAACATGTTAAAGATATGATTGTGAATGAGTGGAGCAAGGAAGTCAAGGATTTGGGAGGGCCACTTGTTGGACAGCTGTGTTCAACTGGTGAGGAATTTCATTTTTCAGGTATTTATTTTTCATCCATTTCCTGAATGTTTCATGTTGATTTTAAAATTTAAATAGGATAGAATATTATTTTAAAGGGCAAAGGAAAAGCAGCACATACATAATTTACATGCTGCAACATTGACAATGAAAAATGCTTATTAATATAAGAACTTAGCCATAATCTTCATACCCAGATTAAATATAATCCACATTCTTCTCTTGCTCCTGCCAATTATAACCTCATGCCTCATAACAATTGTAAACATGAAATATTGTCACTGTGAAACTTGGCCTTATTTTCCACTGTCAACTGACAAGCCAGACTGCAATCAATACTATTGACCCTACTGTCTTGACCCTTCTTCAGCTACTTTCTTACAGCTGTTACCACAAATTTGAAAGATTCTGTCTCTCTAAGGAGTTATAATTTCTTTCCCATTGTCTATCCAAATAGCCTTTAGTAATAAAGTCTATACTTAGGAATAAAGTCAACATTCACTGTATTTCTCACCCTGTTGATCATGAAGTAGCACAGAATTCACCAACCCAATTTTCAAATTCAGTGATGCAGTTGAAAGTCAGTGTGAGATGTGGTATGTGGTTGAAAATTCCTGTTGGATACCGATGTCTGCCTTGATTTCTAAGAGGAGAAAATAAAAACCTAAATTCTTCGAGTCATATAAGGAGTAAATATTCCATATTATTGCTTGACTTTGTCTTATTTTACTCACTGGGGTAGCTCTAGGCACAGCAACCAGAAGGACCCCGGCTCCCTCTTGAGAATATCGCTCCATCCGTAGAAGATGCTAGAAAAGCAGGGACCAGACCATGAAATGTCAGTAGAAAACCTACATCTTTCATTATAATTTCAGAGGTGCAGCAAAAGGAAGATCCCTCCCTTCAACCTACCTCAAACAGAACCCCACTTTTATACAACCAAGCAAAACAAAACCCTCACTGCCATCCAGCCAATGCTGACTGACAGTAATCCTATAGGACAGGAGCGAACTGCCCTTGTGGATTTCAGAGATTGTAACTCTTCATAGGAGTAGAAAGCCCAACTTTCTCCCTCAAAGTGACCGATGGTTTAAAACTTCTGACCTTGTGGATCACAGCCTAACGTGTAACCACTATGCCACCAAGGCTTCTTCCCACTTATTAGCCAGTGTTAATCTTTAAAAACTGTGCCTGAACATGTTCCCTTAGAACTATGTGTGAAGATTGAAGAATGGAAATCTTGCAAAGGACATTTTCACCAGGGCTGAAGCTAGACATTGTCTCTTGTAAGGGGCCAGGCTTTGTTACTGGTAGAGGTAGAGGTATGGCTAGAGGTAGAGTATGTTGTGTTAGAGCTATTTGAAGGGATTGTAGCAATAATCCCTTGGAATAAAATAATCACCCTTTAAAAACGCAGTGCTGCAATGTCACGTGTTTCATTTAGTCAAACTGTGGGATCAAATCTAGAATGGGAACAGCTCTGAGAAATCCACCATGGTAAACTGCCAGTTCACATTGAAGTAGCATCAACAAATTGAATCTCCTGGAAGGGATACCTGCCGGAGAAGAGCTCATTTTTAAATAAGACATACAAAAAAATAACACTGTTGCTGGCTCAAAGGGTGTTTTTTAAAATGTGAAAAGATAAATGAACGAGAGAATGAATACACGAGGCAACTCAACCTACTGATATTGAGCCCACTCCGACTCATAGCTATTCTAGCCATGGTGTCTGAGACCCGAGATAGGGGAGCAGACAGCTTCATCATTCTCCCTAAGAGTGGCTGGCAGATTTGAACTAACCGTTAGTTTAGCAGATTAATGCCTACACAGCACCAACAAGGTTCCTTAAATGAGACACAGGAGAAGAATAGCCCAGGGTTTCACCACTCAGAGGATAGAACTGCTTGGTGACCAGTTAGAGATTCTGACCACAGTGGGTTTGCATGAAACCAGATGTAAGAAGGGCACTGGAGGAGAGGTCTGCTCCTGTATATGAACTATCTCTTGCCTTGCTTTTAACTTCCTCAAACGCCAGAGTCAGGCATACTGTGAGCTTCCAGACATCCTATATTTGGAATGCCAGGGTCAGGTTATTTTGTAGTTACAAGGTGCCCTGTATCTGTCATTGATGGTCATAGATACCACCTTATACATAGCTCTCAGAGATCAGCTTCCCCAATCTTCTAGGCGTCTAGGATAATGTAGGTTATCCTAGGATAACCTACAAGGGAATATAGTAGGAAGTAGGGGAAAGGCCCTATTTCAATCACACTGTATGAAAAATGAAACCTAAATTAGCTAACTTGTAAGGTTATGAGAGCTTAATTTAAAAATTTAATTCTCGAGACAATTTGAAGCACTAGAGATCCATTGAATTTCTCCTTTTCCACCCCCAATCTAGTGTTTAATTTTCCTAAAAGGAGGAAGAGAGATGATCTGAGGAGCAAACCAAAAACATCTTAGGTAACCAAAGTAAAAACCAGATTAGTGAGAAAAGTGGTGTCCTACCTCCAGAACTGCTGATGCTGGGGGGCAACGTTGGGTTGCTATCCGCCAGGTCTGAGCTTCAAACCTACCAGCCACTCTGTGGGAGAAAGATGAAGCTGCCTGTTCCCATAATGCTTTCCAGCTTGGGAAACCCCATAGAGGGTCACTATCAATTGGAACTGACCTGATGGCAGTGGCTGTTGTTGGCATACCACCTCCAGCACAGGGGACCAAAGGTAAGAGGAGAGGATTGCTAGGGAAAGGAGTGCTTGATGGGAGAAGAGGAGGGAGGAGGGGAAAGGGCCTCCTATGCAGGAACTCAGCAGCAGAGAAAACCATGAGCATCAAGGGACAACATTACCATTTTCCTGCCTTTTCCTGGTACCGACAGCTTCTGGTTTTTCCAGTTCTGAGCCCAACAGACAGTCACACACAAAAAAGAAAACATTTCATAACTGTCCAATCATGTGAATTGATGTTGCCTTTTCTATTTAAGACTCTTGTTTTTCAGAAGGAGGAATAAGCTGGGCCCCCCAAAACCTCGGCAAATAAAAACTTCAGGAAGATTCTCTGAACTTTGACAGCATATTTGTTCTTATCTCAAGACACCATTAAAAAAAACAAAGAAAGAAAATGCGAAAACTTCCAATTCTAAAGGAGTAATAGCACACTATTTCATACATTCCATAGCATAATTACACAAGCCATTCTTTCACCAAGACCCCTCTGTTACTGATTTTATAGTGCCAAGAGGGCTAGCCTAGCAAAGCGTTCATGCCAGTCAGAAGGGCTGCTGGCTTAAGGTAGCCAATGGGATGGCGATGTGTCACCTGGAAGCCCAGAGGACAGCTGGGTCTGTTCTGATTCCTGGAAGGCTTAACCTGGAGCTAAGTCTGGACTCATTAACTGAAAAAGGTTACTGGCTGAGTCCTCTGGGATTTTTCATTGTAGCGAAGTGACTTACCGTTTACCTCTGAGTAAACTACAGCCGCTGAGTACTTATGAGAGAAGCTTAAAAAACATTAACTGGGCTGGGGAGTGGACTAATGAAGCAAGTAAAAATTGGGCATAGAAATTTCAAAAAATAGTGTTTTACTTCAGTGCTCATGGAAATGTTCCATTATAATTTAATTCTATTCTGCACAAACTTGTAGATGCCCCCTTGAGAAAGTGTGTGAGCCATATAAGCAATATAATTTAAAAATCCTAGCCAGATTCCTAAACATTCAAATTCAAAACTCTCCAGAGGCAACTACTTCTATAATTTGGCCTCTCATGGCATGCATATTTTATTCTGCAATTTTTTTCTATTATTTTTTAATTAAAAAAATCATTTTATTGGGGGCTTGTACAACTCTTATCACAATCCATGCATACAGCCATTGTGTTAAGCACGTTTGTACATTTGTTGCCATCATCATTCTCAAAACCGTTGCTTTCTACTTGAGCCCTTGATATCAGCTTCTCATTTTTTCCCCTGTCTCTCCTCTCCCCGCTCCCTCATGAAACCTTGATAATTTATCAATTATTATGATTTCGTCATGTCTTACACTGTCTGACGTCTCCTGTCACCCACTTTTCTGTTGTCCGTCCCCCAGGGAGGAGGTTATATGTAGATCCTTGTGATCAGTTCCCTCTATCTCTCCCAACTTTCCCATGACCCTCCTAGTATCCCTACTCTTATTATTGGTCCTGAGGGATTCATCTGGCCTGGATTCTCTGTTTCCAGTTCTTATCTGTACCAGTGTACAT